CGTACCTTTTGGTGGATACAGGCGCTGCCAGTAGAGTCTTCTATCTGCAATGAAGCTTGGTTGGGCCTGGCGCTCGGTTCCTCCCTCCCTGACTTCGGAGGAGTTCAGAGGTGAGATTTAAAGCGTCGCGCCTGCTTCCGTTGCCGTTTTTCCCCACCATCCTGTCGTGTTGAGTCCTTGTTTAGAAAAGACAGTGCCCCGCGTTTCAATCCTTCCTCCTCCTCCGCCCGCTTTTACCCCTGTTTGATGTAAACTCAGCCTGTTCCGCGCATTTCGGCACGCCCCTCGCACGTTTCGTGGCCTCGTAGGGAGCTCCACCGAAGGTCCCAGTGGCTGCGCTCGCGTGGTGGCCCCGCGCCTATTTTGAGACACCGCTCACAGATTTCGTGGCCGCGTAGGGAGGGAGCTCCACCAAAGGTTCCAGTGGCAGCGTCCGCATGGCGGCCCTGCGCCCATTTCGGCACACCCTTCACGCGTTTCGTGGCCCCATAGAAAGCTCCATCGAAGGCTCCACCGACAGCGTTCGCATGGGGGCCCTGCGCTCATTTCGGCACACCTTCACGCGTTTCGTGGCCCCATAGACAGCTCCGCCGAAGGCTCCACCGACAGCGTTCGCATGGCGTCCCTGCGCCCAGTTCGGCACACCCGTCACGCGTTTCATGGCCCCATAGCTCCACCGATGTGGCCCCGTACCCATTTTGAGACACCCCTCACACATTTAGTGGCCGCATAGGGAGCTCCACCGAAGGCCCCGGTGGCAGCGTTCGCATGGCGTCCCCGCACTCATTTTGGCACACCTTTTGCACGATTCGTGGCCCCAGAGGGATCTCCACCGAATGCCCCAGAGGCAGCGTTCGCATGGCGGCCCCCCGCGCACATGTTGGCACGCCCTTCGCACGTTTCGTGGCCCGATGGGGAGCTTTACCGAAGAACTCAGTGGAAACGTTCGCATGGCGGCCCCGCGCCCAGTTTGCCACACCCTTCACAGGCTTCGTGACCCATAAAGAGATCCGCAACGGCGATACTCACAACTGCATCTGGTTGGGCCCTTCGCCAGGATAAAGCCACTAACATATGACTGTCCGACTTATGGGGCGCTATCGCTCTTGAGCAAAAGCAGGCACAATCCGATTGTGTGTTCTTTCATCCCATGTTTTTTGTCGTTGCTTTTTGATGTTTTCATTAATCGACCTGATCTTACTCACGGTGTGGAAACTTCATGTGTTGTTTTAAGGCGTAGCATATGGTTCGGCTTACCAGATCACTTAGAATCCTGAGGCCATCTTGGAAGACCCAACGACCCGTGGCGCCCCCGTGCAGATCCAGGGGGGGGGGGTACCGGAAGGGGTCAAGCTACCCCAACCCGCAACCCGTGGCGCTCAGTCCCACCCGCCCGCCCAGCACATACTCACCGTCCGAGCTTCGGGCTCCGAAATAACCTCGCTAATGCATCTCTTTTGGCTTTCCAGTGGGCTCCAGTGGGTGCTCTCGCTGGTGGCCGCTGGAGGAGGAGGAATAGGAGGAGGAAATGTAGGAACAGGAGTAGGAGTAGGAGTAGGAGTCAATTTAAACAGCTCGAGCGAGACATGTATGGCATGCCCATTCCCACCCGCCCTCCCACAACAGAAGAAACAATGCTGGCACAACCGGGATCCGAGATCACATCGACGAGCTGGGTTGGCACAGCTGATGCGGCCGCGACAGCGGTTACCGATGGGAACTCCCCAACTCGTCTCAAAGGCTGCGCGGGCATTGCAGCACGAGTCGAGGATGCCACAAGAGGACCCAGGAGACTGCAAGAGGGCCCCAGGAATGCCCAGGATGTTTCAGGACACCGCAGGGAGCCCCAGGAGGCCCCAGGAGTCCCCTGAAGGCCCCAGCGAGTCCTTACCCAGCTGGCCCCAGGAAGGCCCAGGAGACGCCAGGAACCCTTCCAGGAAGCCCCAGGAGGTTCAGGAAACCCCTGGAAGTCTCAGGAAACTTGGCTGGCAAAACGCATCGCGCGCGCACATCGGCCAGTTGGTATGGCAGAATTCTTGTGGCCACGATTGCGGTGGCCGATGGGAACTGGCCCAACGCGTTTCAAAGGCCGCGCCAGCGCGCGGGCACGTCTGTGCAGGTCGGTGACTCGGGTGGGCGCGATGGCATGATGACGTCGACCACGGTGGCGACACGATGCGTAGGCCAGTGACCCGCGATGCACTGACGGCAACGCCAGCGACGGTGCCGATGATGGCGAGGACTCTGGAAGGATTTGGACATGCGCTCGCGGCGACGCGATCGCATGTCGCCCGCGTGGTATTTTTGGAACAGGTTTCGCGCCCTGGGTGCATAACAGAGCATCGCGAGTGCACCGCTCGGCGTGATGAGATCGCTGTTTTTTTCACGAAGTGGGAATCGTATGGTTTCCCGTGATTTCAGCAATTGCGCGCGAGTAGGACTTTTGAAGAGGTGTGATGACAAAAACATGTTTGTGACAGGTTTTCATGTTGAAATGCTTGCAAACACATTGTGTTTGGTAGGAATTTGACATGAGCGCGCGTGTGCACTTTGTGGTAATTTCTTTGCAAGGGTTTACCGACGTGGACGACAGGACGTCCATGTTGAGAGGAACAATGACGAAACACGTTGAGTTCGTATTGTTTTTTGCAGGTTAGGGTGGGATTTCCCAGATGGGGCGGCTATCGGCCGGGGAGAGGGGGGAGGAGGAGTATATTGTAAGAAGGAATAAGGATAGGAGTAGGAGTAGAAAGAGGAGGAGGAGGAGGAGGAGGAGGAGGAGGAGGAGGAGGAGGAGGAGGAGGAGGAGTCGAGGGTGCCGTCGAGCTCCCAGTGCAACATGGCGCGTCGGTCGTCGAGAGGTAGGTATGGATTAGAGGCACGAGCAATGACATAAACATAACACGAATTTCGGAGGTCCGCGCGGACTTCTCGGACTGGCACTGGGGCCCCGTGCCGGCGCCCCCGGCGCCGCTCCTGGCGCACTCCGCGCGCCAGGGAGGGTGGTCAAGCACGGATCCGAGAAATCCGCGCGGACCTCAGAGTTTGTATGTTTATGCCGTTCTTCGCTCCCCCAACGTTGCGCGTCAGTCGGTGACAGGTACGTGCGGATGAGCAAGTCCTTCTCAAACTCAGGCGTTCTCCCACTTCGAGGGTCGAGCGGCTTTGCCTCTTCCCTTCTCTTCAGGGGGCGGGCGGAGGCCCAATCGACTTTCAGCTCCTTCCTGCTTCATGTTTCTACCCACTCCCGACCGACGGGTAACCCCAGAGTCTGAGACCCTCTCTAATGGGGCGTGCTCACTTGACTATGGGAAACTCGTGGACGTGAACCAGTCGAGGTTCGTCTTGCAGAGCCCAATGGGGCGTGACCCCTGGTCCATGGCGGCCCTCTTTTCAGAGTATGCGGGAGCGTGAACCTTACTTATTGCCCAGGGCCCCCTCCAGGCTCATCGCCAACGACGAAGTGGAGATCTGGCCCGACAGGATTCTCGGGGAAGGCGGCTTTGGTACCGTCGTTCCTGGGGTATACCACGACACCTTAGTGGCTGTGAAGGCGCCCAAGCAGGACATAGACAAAGGCTTACGCGAGATCTGCAACGAGCTCAGGATTCTTCGCCGCATTCGTCACCCCAACGTCGCGTTTTTCTACGGTGCGTCCATGGACGCTGCCATGAATAAGCTATGCCTGGTCCTCGAGTTTGTCGACGGTGTGTCCCTTGGCGCATTCATCCGCACCATCCGGCGGCGAGCCGGGGGAAAAATCGAGAAGGAGAAGGCCGTCTCAGAAGGCGGTGGGATTTCCCAGAGGCCTCCTGGCCTCCCGAGAAGTTCCCTGTGTCTTCGGGGAGGGCCTCGAAATCTTCTCAGCAGGCTGGGCGACTTCCGCGCCTCCTGCGAAGGCCCGCCCTTCTCGCTTCCTCCTCCTCCTCCTCCTCCTCCTCCTCCTCCTCCTCCTCCTCCTCCTCCTCCCCCGGGCTCGCTGCCGCTCCATGTTCCGCAGCTCCGACCGCCCAGCGGAGCCGCGCTCCGGCGCTCCAGAGGCCGGAGCCCCCGCCAGCAGCGCCGCCGCGCGGGCCCTGCTCGTCTCCGACGTTCTGAACGTGCTGCGCTACCTGCACTCGAGGCAGCCCGCCGTCGTCCACGGCGACCTGAAGGACTCGAACATCTTCGTGGAGAGGCGCCTCGGCAGGAGATCACCACCCACCAAACCACCCCAACCCGACCCGAAGGCTCAGATTTACCCTCGGTTGCCAGTGTGTGGGGGGGGGTCGGGAAACATCGACAAAAACACATGTGGAACCCTTACCCCCCCCAACCCGAAAGTCGGGTCTTCCGCTTGGGTTGGGGTGGTCTGGTAGGTAGTCAGGAGAGGACAGCGCTCGTTCCGCGCCAAGCTCCTCGACTTCGGCCTCTCGCGGGTCCTCACCCGGAGCGCCCGGCCGCTGGGCGGCACGCCGCGGTGGATGGCGCCGGAGCTGCTCCAGCGCGAGCCGGTGAGGCCCGACGCCTCCGCTGACCGCTACTCGTTCGGCTTGGTGGCGTACTTCATCGTGTCGGGGCGCATGCCGTTTGAGCACGTCGGCGCGGAGCAGGCCTTCAGGAGTCTGCGCGACGGCAGGCCTCCCAGTCTGTCGTGGCCCGCGTCCGCCGACGAGCTCACCCAGGTCTGCCGGCCAGTGGTCCAGGAGTCGCTATCTGCACGAACGAAGTGGGTACTCACCACCCACCAAACCACCCCAACCCAACCCGAAGGTCTCGATTTGCCCTCCATTTCCAGTTGGGGGGGGTCGGGGAACATCGAGAAAACACATATGGAACCCGTACCCCCCCCAACCCGAAATTCGGGTCTTCGGGTTGGGTTGGGGTGGTCTGGTAGGTAGTCAGGTACGGAAAGAACGGGTACAATGCCCAACAGCAGTTCCTGTTCATTTTGAACAGGACTCGCTGTCCGCGCCGCCACGGCCGGTGTCCCCTTGAGGCGGAAGGCCGCCTGCCCAACAGGGCCGCTGTTGGTTTGGGACAACATTTGTTGCTGGGCTTTGTACCCATTTTTTCCGTACCCATTTCGGGCGTCCAAACTAGTCACTAGCTCAGAACGGGCGCCCAATCCCGAACACGCGGAGGGAGATCTCGGGGTCGGGCTTTGCCAGGGGGACGCCGACGAACACAAGCCATGCCCCGAAATCCTTGGATGATTTTCGAGTCCTCGGTGAATCCGCGATGTTGAGATTGGGAGTGTTTTTTTCTGGGTCCAGGAGTGTATCCAGCCAACGCCCGCCCTGCGCCCCAAGATGCACCAGGTCAGCAGCGAGCTGTCCGCCCTGCTGTGCCACGTCGCGGGTGGGGAGACGATGGAGGAGACTTGGATTCCGTCGGGCATGTCCCTCTGCAGGAGGAATATGCAAACATAGTCCAAAAATGCCCAGGGGGCGTTTTTTCGAGTATTTTTGTTGTAAGTTTTTTGTTGCCAAACTTTTTTGTTTCGTCCAAATCCCCCTGCAGCAGGATATTCCCGACCTAAGACTGGGAGCCTCGGGGGTGCACAGACCTCCTACCCTGACACGCCGACGAAGGAACTGGCCGCTTTCGGTTCGCGAGAGGGCGTCGCGGCCGTCCTTTTTGCGGGTCCAGGTCCGTCGATTTCGGTCCCAGGCCGTTTTCACTAAGGGGAGGTCTCTCAAAGGGAGGTTTGTTCACCGCCGAGAGCCGTTTGGAGGCCTGGCGCGGCCCAGAGCGCCGGCTCCGGCCAGCAGGAGACGGGCTGGCAGGCTCGGGCTCCTGAGTTTTCGGGGGGGCCCTGTGGTGCTGGGTCCTCGTTTTGAAGCGGCAGCGCCCCGCGCCTCCTCCTCCTGCTCGTCCTCCTCCTCCTGCTCCTCCTCCTCCCTCCTCCTCCTCCTCCTCCTCCTCCTCCTCCTCCTCCTCCTCCTACGCCGCCGCCGCCGCCGCCGCCGCCTCCTCCTCCTCCTCCTACGCCGCCGCCGCCGCCGCCTCCTCCTCCTCCTCCTCCTCCGCCTCCGCCTCCGCCTCCCTTTTTTCCTCCTCCTTCCTCCTCCTCCTCGTCCTCCTCCTCCTACGCCGCCTCCTCCTCCTCCTCCTCCTCCTCCTCCTTCTCCCGTTTGATCTCAATTCAGTCTGCGCCGCGCATTTCGGTACGCCCCTCACACGTTTCGTGGCCCCGTAGGGAGCTCCACCGAAGGCCCCAGTGGCTGCGCTCGCATGCGGACCCCCCACGCCGTCCAGCGTTTCGTGGCGCCATAGGGAGCTCCACCGAAGACCCCAATGGCTGCTCTCGCGCGTGCGGGACTCTCACGCTGGACAGCGTTTCGTGGCCCCATAGGGAGCTCCACCGAAGGCCCCAAGCCCCAGTGGCAGCGCCCACATGGCGGCCCCGCCCCACATCGGCACACCCTTCGCATGCTTCATAGTCCCATGAGGAGATCATCATTTTTATGTTTTTTTGTTGTGTGTGTGTGTGTGTGTGTATTTTGCTGCTTTCGGGGGCCGTTTTCAGGCCCCGGGATAGCGAGAAGCGGATCCAGAGTGAGAAACTGCACCAGATGGACCCTGGGCGGGGTGTTTGGGGACTGATCTTGAGCGGCTTTGGCTTCACTCCCCCCTCCTGGCCGATTCTCTGGGGTCCCAGCCAGTTCAGACCTCCTGGCTCCGAGGCGGGAATTTATACGTGACCACCGCCTCAAGAGTCAGTCTTCGGAGCCTCGGCAGGCGGTGGATATGGACATACTCGGGCCCCCGGGGGCCCACATATATCCACAGCCACCGCCCGCTGGGGCACCACCTCCTCCTCCTCCTCCTCCTCCTTGTCCTTCTCCTCCTCCTCCTTGTCCTCCTCCTCCTCCTCGTCCTCCTCCTCCTCCTCCTCCTCGTCCTCCTCCTCCTCCTCGTCCCCAGGCGGTGCACACGGATCAGTCCCCGCCTCGCACTGGCCGCCTCCAAGAGGAGACCCGCTGCCCCGGGCAGCCGCGCGGGGGGAGCGCGGCGTCCTCGCCGGGAGCGGAGCTGCAGGCCTTCCGCGGCCTGGTCGGGGTGCGGCCCGCCGGCCTCGGCGGCGAGCCGCCCGTGCCCCGCGCGGCCTCCGCGCGCCCGCGCCCCGTGCCCGAGCACGGCGCCCCGCAGCCGGGAGAGGCCACGGGCGCGGAAGCAGCGCCGCCGCCCAGCGATCAGTGGCAGCTGACCCACGCGGGCCACAGGCCGACGCCGTTCCGCACGCAGTTCCTCACGCTGGCGTACCTGCTCCTGCAGTGGAACGTGCCGCTGCCGGGGGGGTCCTGCTGCTGGCTGCACGCTGCTCTGCAGGCCCTGGACAGGGCGCGGGAGGAGCTCCGCCGCCAGCCGTGCAACGCGCAGCACGACGCCTTCTTGAGCGCCCAGTGTGAGAGTTGTGGGTTGATGATGCAGGGCGAGATGCGCTGCGATTTTTGCAACTCTGGTGACGATGTGGCATCCTCGAGCGGCATCGTAGACGGGCGACCAGTCGGCTGATCCAAGAGCAGCTGCACAGACTGCAAATCGTCTCCCGCTTGGCCTGCAGCAGAGTGCCCTTCTAGCAACTATGATGGCACAAGTTTTTGCCCCCCCCCCCCCCCCCCTCCTCCTCCTCCCCTGGCTCGTCGGCCTCCTTCCTCCCTCGCCTCCCCCGCTTGAGCTAGCGAGCCGCTTCAAGATCCAATTTTTTTGTAAGTCTGGGATGCGCTTGTCCGCAGACGCCCAAGAGGAGGCAGAGGTGGTGGGAAACGGGAAGCCAAGGCAAGAGCTCCAGCTCTCGCCCACCCCGTGCAGAGCCGCCCCTAAATGAGGGTTCTCTTTGCCCTGTGGTTGCGCTGGAGAGGTCCAGTGCAGTTGTGTGTTGTGTGTGGCCCGCACCTTTTCGCAGTTGTTCTCGTCGGCTTTGTGGGTGAAACTAGAATCCCTTGGGGAACACTTGAAAGAGAACGAGCAAGGAGGAGGAGGAAGAGAGGGAGGAGAAGGATGACGAAAAGGAGGAGGAGGAGGAGGAGGAGGAGGAGGAGGAGGACGAGGAGGAGGAGGAGGAGGAGCAGGAGGAGGGAGGAGGAGACTGAGGAGGAGGAGGGGCAGGAGGAGAAGGAGGTGGTGTAGTAGGAGGAGAAGGTTCTGGAACCTGTATGAAGGCCTGGGCGGTTTCAACGGTTGTTTGATTCATTGGCTTACGCCGCACCGCCGACCCCTTGGGGCGGCAGCAGGGGTGAAAGACGGAGTTCGCGGAACGCGCGCGATCGCTGGACAATCTTGGGCTTTCGGCCTGTCTTACGTAGCGTGTGGGGTTCAAAGGGGGGGCTTTGTAGGGGATTGTATTGAAGTTGTTCGTGGTCTCATGTGGGTTTCTTGGGGCCCTCACGGGGCCTGTCCCAGGCCTCCTTTTCCACCCCCTGGATGGGCTCGGGGATCGTTGAGACCCGGCTGGGGGTGCGTCTGGCCAGAAGCTCGAAAGTGGACCCAGCTGTGCCGACGAGGAGCTTCCTGAAGGTCCAGAGAGGGCGGAGAGCGCCCAAGAACTGAGTCTCATGCCGCGAGCCTCGATACACCCCGTGCTCCTTCCTTTGCGAAGGGGTGGCACTGGCCAGGGAGGTCGATCCTCATCCTGGACCCTCGGCGGTGGCCCCGGGTACCGAAAACGGTTCCTGGAGGCTGACTTCGAGGATATGCCTCGGGTGGTCGAAAGATGACGAACATCTGTGAGACATCTGCGGCGACGACGAAATCTTTTTTCTTTTTTCCTTTTCCTCCTCTTCCTCCTCCTCGTCCTTCTCTTCTTCTTCTTCTTCTTCTTCTCCTTCTTCTTTTTCTCTTTTCTTCTTCTTCTCGATCGAGGTAGATGCCCGCGGCGGTTCCGGCCCCCTTTCCAGAGATTTTTGTTTGAACAGTTTTTGTTTTTGATAGGTTTCGGTCTCCGGTGGCCGTTGCTGGGCCCCAGGATTCCCCAAACCGGACAGGCCTGGGGCGAGAAATTGCATCACTGCATCAGCGCTCCAGGGGAGAGGGGAACGAACTTGTGCGAAGTAGGCCGTCGGACTCGGGAGGTTTTTTGTGGTTGGGGGGGTTCTGGGCCCCTCCCCTGTCGCCGCGGCCGGATGCATTTTGGAAAACGATTGCGACTGGATTCCGGCAAGGTCTGGGAGGCCCATGGTGGACGATTTCTGCGCGGGGAAAAGAGAAGAATTTGGTTGCAGAGTCTTAGTCTTTTCAGTTTTTCGTGGTTTTCGTCGTCGAAGGGCCGCCTCCGTGCATTTAGGCGCCCTTTCATGTTTCCTTGGGGCGAAGTGCTCGAATTGTCCAGTCGGGTTTCCCTTCTTACCCTCCTCTTGGGGCCGTCCTGGGGCTCTCCCTGGTGGCTTCGGGGGCCCTGTTGGGGCCCGTTTGTGCCGTCTGGGAGCCTTCTTGGGGGCATGCGGGGGCTTGTGGGTTGATTTGGGGGGCTTTTTGGGCTGCTGTGGGACCCGTGAAAGCTCAAAAAGCGAACGTGTTAAACTTAGACGCCTCTTTTCGGGAAGGGTCCTGGTGGCGTGTTGGGGCGTCTATGGGGCCTCAGGGGTCAGCTGGAAGCAGTGGCGGGCGTCTGGGAGAGATCTCCTCACGAGTCGTAATTCGCGCTCTGGAGCCGTCGGGGGAGCCTTGCGGGACCTATTTTGGGATTTTTTTTGGGCCGTCCTGGGGCCATCCTGGGTCGGTTTGGTGGCTTCTGGGGCCTCTTGGCGTCCATTTGGGTTGTCCTGGAGCCTTCTTGGGAGCCGTTTTGGATCGTATTGGGTCGATCTGGAAGGCTTCTTGGGCTGTTGCGGGCCTCGTGAAAGCGAACAGGCGAACGTGCTGGAAATGTAAGTTGTCCATAGAAAATGAAACGCTCTTTGCTTCTGGAAAGCCTCTTGGGACGTCTCCGTGTGGTTTCTTGGGGCGTGTTGGGGGCCTGTAGGACTGCCGGGAGGCAATCTGGAGCGTCTTGGAGCGATCTCTCGACGACTCGTAGCCCTCGTGGGCCGTTCAGGAGGCCTTTGGGGATGGGGAACCTCTTGGCCCATTTTGGGCCGTCTTGAGGCCGTCCTGCGGCTCTCCTGGGCCGTTGCAGTTGTTTCTGGGGCCTTCGCGGGGCCCTCGCTGGCCGTCTTGGAGCCTTCTTGGGGGCCTCTTGGGTTATCTGGGGTCGCTCTTGGAGGCTTTTGCGCCGTTGTGGGCCTCGCGAAAGGCCAAGAGGCGAGCGTGTTAAACTATATGTTTTGTCCGTAGGGAATAGGACAGTTTTCGCTTCTGGAGGGCGTCTTGGTGGCTTCTTGGGCCTGTTGGGAGCTTCTGGGGCCGTCTGGAGGCAATCCTCGGCGTTGTGGAACGATCCTTTGTCGACTCGTAGCTCTCTTGGTCCGTGCCGGGAGCCTTTTGGACCTTTTCGGCTTGTTTTGGGGCCCCCTAAGGCTGCAAGTGTGCGGCCGGCGCCTTTGGCCCGCCCTCTCCTCCAAACCGGCCGACCAGGCTCCTGGGAGGGGGGAGCATCTCGCACGCCGTGGCCCCAGGGGGTCGGCGGACCTCGGGGCCGCCTGGTGTGAACAACATTGCAACGCTTGGAGATCGGGGGGGGAGCAGGAGGAGGACGAGGGCATGGACGCACACGTGTCCGCAGCTTCAAGGTTGCGGGGAGGAGGAGGACGAGGAGGGGGAGGAGGAGGAGGAGGAGGAGGAGGAGGAGGAGGAGGAGGAGGAGGAGGAGGAGGAGGAGGAGGAGGAGGAGGAGGAGGAGGAGGATGAGGAGAAGGAGGAGGAGGAGGAGGAGGAGGAGGAGGAGGAGGAGGAGGAGGGAGGAGGAGGAGGAGGAGGATGGGCGTAGGAGGAGCTATGCTTATACCCCAGGGGATGGTCTGTGCATGGGCGAGCAGGGGTTCCGCGGCCGTCCGGAGGCAATGTCGGGCCTCTTGGAGCGATCTCTTCACGAGTCGTAGCCCTTCGGGGCCGTCGGGGGAGCCCTTTGGGGCCGTCCTGGGGCCCTCCTCGGTGGCTGCGGGGGCCCTCTTGGGGACCTTTTGGGCCGTCTGGTAGCCCTCTTGGAGGCATATGGGCTTTCCTTGAATTGAATCGGGGGCTTTTTGGGTTGCTGCGAACCTCGCGAAAGGCCAAGAAACGAATGTGCTAAACTTGGACGTTTCCGTTAGGGAACGGGCCGATGTTTGCTTCTGGAGGGCCTCTTGGGCCGCCTCCTGGTGGCGTGTTGGGGCGTGCAAGGGGTCTCAGGGGCCGCGTGAAAGGCCAAGAGGCGAACGTGTTGGAAATATGTGCTTTCCATCGAGAATGGGACAGTTGTTGCTTCTGGAAGGCTTCTCGGGGCGCCTCTGGGTAGCGTCTTGAGGCGTCCTGGGGCCGGTAGGGCTGTCGGGAGGCCATGTTGGACGACTTGGTGCACTATTGAACGACTTGGCCCGACCAGGAGGCCTTCTAAAAACCCTCCTGGCCCGTGTTGGGGCCCTCTTGGGACCGTCTTGCGGCTTTCCAGGGCCGTTGCTATGGTTTCTGGGGCCTTCGTGGGGCGTCCAGATGCCGTTCTGGAGCCCTCTTGAAAGCCTGTGGGGCTGTAGGGGGTCGATGTTGGTTGCTTCTTGGGTCGTTGCAGGCTTCGTGGATGCCCAAGAGGCGACTGTGTTGAACATGTATGTTTCCCTCGGGAGTGGGACGATTTTTGCTTGTGGAGGCCTTCGTGGAGCGCCTCGTAGTAGCTTCTTCAAACGTCTCGGGGGCCTATGGGGAATCGTCTGCAGGCAAGCTGGTGCGAATTGGACCGAATCGTCCCCCTCGTGGGCCGTCCAGAAGGCCTTTGGGCACCCTCTTGGCCCGTTGTGGAGCTCTCGTGGGAACGTCCTGCGACTGTCCTGGGCCGTTGCTGTGGTTTCTGAGGCCTTCGTGGTGCGCCTGGAAGCCGTCGTGGAGCCTTTTTTGAGAGCCTCTTGGGGTGTCGTGGGTCGAACTTGGAGGTTTACCGGGCCGTTGTAGGCCTCGTGGAAGCCCAAGGGGCGACTGTACTGAAAATGCATGTTTTCCTGAAGGAATGGGGCGGCTTTTGCTTCTGGATGCCCTTTTGGAGCGCCTCGTGGACGCTTTTTCAAACGTCTTGGGGGCCTATGGGGCCGTCTAGAGGCAATCTTGGGCGGTTTGGACCGAATCGTCTCCCGCGTGGGCCGAGGAGCCTTTGGGGACCCGGTTGGCCCGTTTTGGAGCCCTGTTGGGACCATCCTGCGGCTCTCCCGGGCCGTTGCTATGGTGTCTGGAGCCTTCGTGGATCGCCTGAAAGCCGTCGTGGAGCTTTTTTGGGGGCCTCTTGGGCTCCGGAGGGTCGATGTTGGAGGCCTCTTGGGCCGTCGTGGGCCGCGTGGAAGCCCAAAAGGGGAATGTGCTGAAAAAGTACGTTTTCCCTTGGGAATTGGACGATTTCTGCTTCTGGAAGGGCCTTCGTGGGGCGCCTCGTAGGACTTTTTTCAAGAGTCTTGGGG